CAGTCCAAATCACCTTCACCAATCGCCGAACCACTTGTCCGCAAATAACAATCAACAACAGGAACATACCACGCAACGCCGAAGTCAAATACTTAGGTGTTTACCTAGACCAAAAACTCACGTGGAGGACTCACATCAAAAAGAAACGCCAACAGTTAACGCTGAAAGAGAGACAGCTGCACTGGCTGCTAGGAAAACGCTCGCAATTGTCCCTGGAGAACAAAACCCTGTTATACAAGGCACTCTTAAAACCTATATGGACCTATGGCATCGAGCTGTGGGGCTGCGCTCGACCATCCAATACCAAAATCCTCCAAACATTCCAATCGAAAACACTACGAAGAATCACAGGCGCACCATGGTACGTAACAAACGGAACTATCCACAACGATCTCAACATACCCCTCATCACGGAAGAGATCAGAAAACATGCCACCAGACACCGTACTCGGATAACAGGACACGAGAACCCGCTAATCGTTGAATTAACGAAACCGCACCCAGCAGCAAGACGACTGAGGACAACCTGGCCAGAAGACTTATGTAACTAAAAGGTAGAGTACTGCCACTGGGCAGCTGCCGCCTTCACGACATAAACACCCATCGCATTTACTTATTACTTGCAGTGGTCAAGTAGATTGTAAATTGACGTAAAAAAAAGCTATGGTGAGCGTAGTAAAGACAGACTACGGTAGTTACAGTCTGCCAAACGTTGGCGGGGGGGGGCACTTGCAGTATAGGCACTTTCATACTCGAAAAGATGGTAAACATTTCACGAATTAAAATGTTCCTAGCATTCCGAAGAAGAGGTAGTTAAGTGAATAGAAGGATCACGTTGTTCAGTAAAGGTCATAAAACTCAAATCTGCAACACGCGTAATCTTAAAAAAGGGAAACAGAAAACTACGATGTGAATATACTGATATCAGATTATCGTAAAATATGTTATTCATGGTTAAAGCTCTGTTTCGAATTCCAGAGTAAATAAAAAATTAGTTATATTATACACTACTTACAAGCTGACAAATCTTCGTTACGAAGAACCTACAAAATATAAAATTATTCTTGGAAATGTTTATCTTTTCGTGTTGACTCTGCTTTAATGTAGATAAATTTTTAGTTAGGTCTTCAGACAGTAATATTTTATTATTCTAGATATTCCCGCCGTTACATTATCATTTTGGATAAGTGAGTGACCACAATATTTGATATTATGGCTTCTCATTTTACATAAAAGCCAGGGTATGCTGATACAGATAACTTCTGTCTACATGCAGCCTGCATAAGCCTACATGACTTTAATGGGATGCTTATTTTATAGTGTAAGAATATTATTCATAAGACGCGTCATTCTTGCATAAAAATCAAATAAGTAATATGCACTCTGTAAAGTGTTACAGTGAACTCCAGTGTAAATATTGAGACATTACTTAAAAAATATATAATTAACTTAGACTTATCAAAAAGTACACTAATACAGGAAGTGTAAATAGGCTTAACTACATTTTTTCTTTTTCATTATTTTCAGCACGATAAAGTTGCATATGTTTATCTGTGATATTTCAAGGAGCTGCGATGCCCATTGTTACAATTATATATTTTTGTTGCTTACTGTTACCTATGCAGGGGCACGCGGTAGCGTAGTTGGTTGATGCACTATTCTACAAGCCGGAAGGTGGCGGTTCAAGTCCCGATGAGGTCATTGGATTTTTTTTTCAATTGACCTAATCCTTTCAACAGCACTATGTCCCTGGGGTCGACTCAGCCTCTAAAAGAAATAAGTACCAGGAATATTCTTGGTATGTTCTTGGGGGTAAAGGGCGGCCGGCGCATAGGGCTGACAACCTTACCGCCATCTATGAGCCGATTGTCTAGATAATGTGGGACTCTCAACATCTCACAACCCTATGGGCCTCCACGGCCTGTTACAGGGATAGCTTTACTTTACTTTACTTTACTTTACTTTACTTTATTTTACTGTTACCTATGTGCTTATATAAGTGGCCGCGCTGTCTGAGGCATGAACAGTGTTCGCCCTCTCAAACACTGGGATCCTGGTTTCGAATCCCACTCAAAGCATTTATGTCTATGTGCGTTTATTCTGTGTTTTTGTTGCCCGGAGTGTAGGTAGCTGCCTTGTGACGGGCTGACCCCACGTCCAAGGAGTCTTGTCGGCTGTGTGTAGATTAAGAAACCGAAAAAGCGGCCAAGGTCATCGACATAGAACCATAGATATATAAATGTGCTTATGAATGCTGAAACATGGTTGACGGATTGTTACGCCGTTGAATGTAGGATGTAGTTTGCAAGTGCCGAACATGTCCATAGATTGAATTTACGATCATTACATCCAAAATAAAAGCAAAGACCAAAGAGAGGAGCTGCCTGCTACGCGGTATGAACAAAACTAAAACAAACACCGTGTAAATGATAAACTAAAATACAAGAGCTCTTCTGAACACGTAGGTATGTTTTGGATTAATTTGTTTCCCCTATAGTGCCAATTAGGAGAGCTAAAGAACCGAACAGATACGTTAACGAACGTGTAAATATGAAAACCGAGCCACGTATATTAATTGTACGGCCCAGTGAAATATTTCGCTGTGCCCTCTCCACACACTCTACAGCTCTAGAGGATGGACTGAAAGAGTCTGCCAAAACATTGCTTGGAGGGGGTCAGGTAACGACGCACGATTACGTTGTTCCGAAATAGTAGCCGGCTTCAAAGGGAGTCGTTTCTCTGCCGTAGCGTTGCAGAGAGAGAGAGAGAGAGAGAGAGCCGGGGCGCGGAAACACACAAAATTACCAATCGGGAGGTGAACTTTCAGAGAGACTAGTAAGGCTACTGAGTGGGCAGCACAGATGCTAAAAACAGGGGTACACGCGGGAATTGATCTGATGTCGTCAGTATGTAAAGAGAGCGTGTTTAAATCTAAAATTATAAGAAACGAAACCGAATGACTTAATACAAGAAAGTTAATAGATGTTCCAACTTCAGGGCTATTATTTATGTAGTGTGACTCAGTGGTTGGAATACTGCTTTGCAGTTTGCAGCTTCTTTTTTTTTTCTTGGCACTACAGCCCCAGTGGGCCTAGGCCTACCTCCATGAACTTCTCCGTTCACTTCGGTTTTTCTAGATCTTATACATTCGGTAGGACTCCTTGGGCAGGTGATCAGCTCGTCGCAAGGCCTCTGCCTGTACACAAATACAGAAAAACGCACACACAAACTAAACATCGATGCCCTTAATGGGATTCGAACCCACGATCCCGGTTTCTAAGCGAGCGAAGATAGTCCACGCCTTAGACCGCTCGGCTACCGACATTTCTCCACTTAAATGTTTTATTTGACAACTGAACTGCCTCTTTTTGCTGCATATACAGGCAAGGGATGTTACATGGAGATTCATTGAATATAAAACCACACCCTTCTTAGGAACATAAGAAAAGCCATTGCAACACGTTTACACGAGAATTTAATTGGAGAGCAAGAGAAGTCGAAATCTAGAGCTACGTTGACTGCAGTCAGTAAACCAGGCAGTCCTCATGATCGCGAGAAGACGGATGTTGTGTAAAGCCACTATGTAATAAGGATATTGAAAGAGCTTTAGGTGACAATAATGAAAGACATGCGTTGCAGTAAGATAAAAAAATTTTGAATTGGAGACTTGAGTTCATTGCGTACCCACTTCGAACTGCCATTTAGCGCCTTTAAACGCACAACGGTTTTAACTATATATTTGGAAGTTACGTTAAATTCCTTTAAATACGATTGTCTAACGGCTCTTAGGTGGGTCTCTATGGGTCCTAAAAAGTTTTTAGAAAATAATTTATTTAATATTTATTTATTCATCCCAGTTTGATTACGCTAGTACTTTCATACAAGCAGATCCATGCATTGATTGATTGATCAGTAACTGTCAGATGACAGGTCCACAGTCTCTTCCAAAACAGTTCCTCCACTTAATGTGATCTTCTGTTTTTGGAAAGAGACTGTCCAGGAAAAGTGATAATGTGGTAGTTTTTCCATTTGCTTTCCACATCGCAGTACAACAGCCGTTCAAACCACTCTGGTCACGCCTGTTGCTATACGAACTTGAACCATCTCGAGCATCATTTGTTCTGTGCTTCAAGTCGCTGCTGATGACGCTGCTTCCGGCATCAGTTTTTGGTTTTTGGTGTCTCTCTTCGTCTGATCCATGCATATGCATGATCCATGCATAAGAGCAAATATTGTGTTCTGTATTAACATGTTCATATTTTCCTTATCATTTCTTCCCCTGTTGAAAGAAATATTCCATGTTGTCAAAGTGTCACTTAGTCAGCAAAGTTTTGTCATTCGATCATTCATTCATTTTAAAAGCCTGATCTGTCTTATCTGTCTTTCTATCTCTTTCAAGTTCTTCCCACATCCATTTCTATTCATCCTTTGTACAATATATTAATAGGCTGTATGCATACCTTGGTGATTAATCGATTTTCGGAAAGTAACGGATTAAATCTTCGATTATTTTTTGTTATCAATTAATAGACTTCGTCCTATGCATTTACACTGTCCTTTATACAAATTTAGAAATTGAACGATGTTTGAAAGGAATATATTTGTATACTACTGTGTTCACTGTATAAAATATACAATTGTTGTTTTTTTGAGCCTCATTTTTAACTGTATGGAACAGTAGAGCCTTGGTCTCAGTTCACTTGTATCATATTAACAGTTATTTAGGTATTTTATCCCGTAACTTACTCCATAACAATACATTTAATTTAATGTATATTATCCCCCATGTTATCTGATCATGTAATCTTAACTACACGCATTTTATCTTTAGAATGTTATAAAACTACTGGAATACCTTTCAGTTGTGTCTTGTTGGACAGCCCTCCCGTATATTTCTTAACAGATGCTGATCTGTAGGCATACTAAGTTGTCGCAAGAAATAATTTAAAGTACATATGGACGGAACGGTCCAGGATCCATGTCATGCATATTTTACGTACCTTGTACCCCCGGAGGTTGTCGACGACGCATGCCAGAAGCGCATCTCTTCCCACGCTCACAGTGACGTTGGGGATGGGCTCAGCGAACCTCGGGAACAATCCTGGAACAAAGTGGAAGGTGCAACTGAAACATTAATTTGGTTGGAGACCGCAGACTGGTCACGTAACAAGTTGTGGTAGGCGACAACAGGTTGTACTGTTAGTTGAAGGGGTGCAGGAATTAAGAGTTTTGTGTTTAACGAGCGAAGAAAAGATACAAAATTCTGACCTCTTCTTCCGTTCGGTAAAGCATACTTAGAATGGCGAGAGAAATCGGCAACTGTAAGGCTGTCTGGTGCAACTCGCGAAAATCACTGGAGTACTTAAGGAAACGAAAATACAAGTTCACCGGTCACGAATGAGGTAACTGGGATTATAGGCAAAATTAATTTTGTTAGGTGGTAAATGATTTTTTAAGTTTTATTCTTGGAGCCCCAGTTTTCATCTCCAATGCGTTTAATTCTCATAATATCCAACGCGAAACCATAGACTAATTGACCTGATGATTGTTTAATGAAGCTTCATAGACTGAAGATCTTAGTTAACACAGTAAGTGGTGAAAGTGAAAAGGATTTATGAAGAAATAACGAAGCACTGTAATAAGATACTATCACCGTATTCCCCTGCGAAGACTGAGCAGAACAAAGAGGCACCTGAAGTTAGGACTACGGATGTACCATTCATGTATAATCGTAGCCTGTGGCATTTGTTTGTGTCCGGTTAGTAATATTATTTTTGAAGATGTGTCTGCACTTATAATGACATCTCTTCTTAATATTATGTCATACTGGAGGTATTTTTAACCTCCGGAAATGGACTTAGGGTATCTGAATTTTGAAGCACGTAAAATATGTATATTTCTTTTGCGAACTTTTTGAAGGCGAGAGAGATATTTTGAAAATTTTCTGTACAGGCGAAATAACAAGCCCTAAGATTAAATTTACAGACAGTTAAGACCTGTGTAACATAAACTGCTTAGGAATAACTCGCTTTTTACAATTTTTCAATTACTTTTGATCCTATAAATTAATCGTATTATCTTTGTTAGGAACAGTAAACATAGGATCTACCAAAAATAATGCCAAAATTTCAGGCACCTGTAGCCTGAGGGTGTTGTTTGCAGTAAATTTTTCGTCGCTTGAAATGGTGTAATTATACACAAGGGGAAAAGTTGTTGGGCGCGAATTACTTCACAGTGAACCCATCTGTAGCTCTGCATACATCCCACCTACAGTTCACCTTTTGGCAGACTCACTGTAACATGTTCTTTTCAATATCTTCAATTTGCTGCACTGATACCTGCTTTGAGTTCTTTCGTACGCGTATGTCAGTGAAACTGTTTGAATTTATAATTACACTGCAAGTACCAACATCTGCAAGCCTCTTTTTATTTCTGAGTTGCAATTTTTTTTGGTACACTCTGTATAACTGTAAGTCGTTTGCTGTAAATCCGTGTATTCATCCATTAACTTTGAATTATGCATTACAAATTCAATTGAATTTCTTTGTACGTTTCACAGCATTGGTACACTAGCAATAGCTTTAGCAAGAGTATGGAGGAGTTGTAGAAGATAATCCGGTTGGCATTTCCCAACCGTTAGTTCAACGGGTTTCTAATTTTTACTCAAAGCCCTCGGATATAGAGGCTCCGGACTTTTCAGAGCCACAAAGCAACCACGCTCAGTATTTCGTTAGGAAATCCATTACACAGGTCACCGCCTTTTCGTGTTCACAGTAAAACCGACTCGAACAAAAGTGTGGAATTGATATAATTGAAGCATTGCTGTGTCGTCAAGTGGATTTGAAAATTTGATGGAATACAAATAAAAGTTCTTATAACCAGGTATAGAGATAGATGTAATACACATGTCAGAAGGAGGGAGTGTTGGTTATTGCCTGTGCTGTATCAGTTGGCGAATTTTAAGTTCATGGAACCTTTACGTGCGAGACACTGGAAAAGATGCGCAGTGAAACGTTCGTAGCGTCAGTCAGGGAGCAATTTTGACATTTTTCTGCTCACACGGAAAAATTCACAGGAAATGTGAGTCGTCATAACATTTATTGTAGCCAATGCTTGAAACTGGCAAATCTCATTACTGTGCAGAATTCTATATTACTTGTAGGTTGGTAATTTTTTCTAATCGTAGTTGATGTTGTGGAGAGAAACTGCATTAGGCCTAATATAATTGTTTTAGATGTGTCATTTACTGATAAAGAGAACAATTTAATTTCAAGTTTAGCGTGGCGCATTACTATTTTTTAGCGTAAATGTCAGACCTGTTAAGATTCGGTGCAATATCTTCCTCAAATAAATTTCTGATATCTGTGTNCATGTCTACCTTGTCAAAATAGGTAAATTGTGTGTTAAAGTTACATATCTTTATGCGAACTAAATATACTCACCTAATAACTAAGTAAACTAAACGTACACAAACAATTAACATAATATATAACGATATAATTCTTACATATTGCAGATAATATTCATGTGGTAACACTACATTGGCATCTGTATGAGCTACGCAAATAACACATAAGTACGACAAACAACAATTAAAAATTATAAAACTAACAGAAACAATAGGGCCGCGCCATAGCTCAAGCGGTTAGTCTCTGGCTTCCTACTGCGGCGGCCCGGGTTCGATCCCGGATCTGGACTAGTGGGATTTATGGTGGACAAAGTGGCGCTGGGGCAGGTTTTCTCCGAGTACTTCGGTTTCCCCTGCCAATCTTCATTCCAGCAATTGCTCCACAATCACCCTCACCTATCATCTGGGGCTGGTACAATAGGCCAGAAGTGGCCGCAGCACAAGGGACTTAGTCCCACCCCACTAGCAATACAAAAATAGTAACAATAAAACATATAACATTTAATATTATTTACACATTACAGAAAATAATCCCGCCGTGATAAACGTATGGAGCGCAGCAAGATGCAACATCAGCAGAAATAAATATATTGCAATGCATAGCTGGTGACTACAATGAAGATAATATTTAATGTTTTTAATTCTAACTCTTAATTCAATTTTCAATTCTAATTTATAATCAACATCATTTTCACACGCGATATGTAATTTTAACATACAATGGAACAGTTCTGGCAAGGTAGACATGCACCTCGAAGCATGTAGTGACAGAAAATTTGGACAAGACATTAAGTTGCGTTTTAGACGGAAGTATAAGTATTATGTATACAAGACAGTTTATATGAGATAAAGTTTGAGAGATGACATATGCAGACGGACAAACGTGACATCATTTCATGCGTTAATTTACACATATTCTCCGAAGAAGGCATAAAGATTTTACACACCTGTCGCCGTTATTATGGAGTACCGCTCAGCCACACAGTTGGTGCATGTGATATAATACCGTCGATGTGTGATAGTATTTTACGAGTTTCGTGTTCAGGAAATGAGCACTTGTTCTCTAAATTATTAATTCAGTGAACATTTTTCCATTTTTATAAAGGCAGACCTTCATTTTTACTATCGTACATGCTGTGAATGTGAGGTAGAATTCTTGCTGGCCTAGTGATCGTAGATTGATCAGTTCCAACTGCACAGCCCACTTTATATCCCAAGATACTGCTCGGTGTTCCAGTTCAGTAATATTGTCATGTGTAGGGGATGTGACTATTGAAGGGGTATGGATTGGATGATTGGATTTATTGACACCTTCTACACAACACTCAGAACTACAATTAATTACAAAACTATTTCTGGTTTCCACGCTATAAATCACTAGGACACGCTAAGTCTTCTCAGTCTTCACTAGTCGTATCCTGGCAACGTACTTATGAAGTCTCACTGTCACTGCAGCACACATGATATCTTCTTTTCACAGCCTAATTCCTTTCTTGCCATCTCGTTTCAGTCATTCGACTGCCATCTTCAGAGACTGTCTCAGTTCTTTAGAGCAACTGTCAACTCCGGAATTCAACTGACTCAAAAGATCTTATTTGTCCCTTTTATAATCCCCGACACGGACCGCACAGAAAATAAAGTTCTTATGTTGTTGCGTGAATTCGTCTCCGCGGAAACGTGTTTATGCAATCGCTCCATAACACCGGCTGTACGCGTCATATCTCATATCGTGACAGTTGCTCTATTATTGCGTGCGGGCATTACCTAACAACGGCTGTTTTTTCTGGCTCCACAGTTCTTTCTGTGAGCAAATACGCCACAGTATTTAGGATGAGCCTGAGAACAGTCTTATTTGATGAATTTGAAATCATCGCAGAGGTCGTCATGAAGGGATCTATCTTCTGGGATATAACGCCGTGTAGTCTGTTGAAAGTCAACGTTTCGAAGGAAATTGTCGCCTCCAAATTCAGGGCCAAAGAATAAGCCAAGAAAGAAATCAGAACGAAAGCTTCGGCCCTGATGTTGGAGGAGACATGTTCCTTCAAAATGTTCGTGGACTTTATCGGACTACACGGCGTTATGTCCCAGAAGGTATAACTCTTCGATCTTACTTGCTTTTTTTTGTATGTCAGTTTTAAAATTTGGTGTTAGTTATTCGCTTATTTTAAAAAATGCTTATATAAAATGCATCGATCGCTATAGAATTTAGAAACGAAAAACCACCGACAAGTATTTAAGGACAGAGATTCCATGTTATGTTTTTTAAAGTTACAGTAGCATTAAATTCATTTCAAAGTCATTAATAAAATATTACTGTGGAGACCAAACCAAGCGAGACGTGGGGAAGCTGCGAAATATATACAAGACTTCAGTCAGAGAACCTGAAGGAAAGAGAGAACTTTGTAAACCTGGACATAGAATGGAGGTTAATATTAACAGTTAACTATTGGGAGGGTTTGCGAATGAGTGCTGGAGCCATTGTGCGCGTGATATGATTCATTGTCGTCACGAAAATAAAATTCCGGGTTTCATAAAAGCAGAGAATTCTTGACTAGCTCAGGGATTACTATCTTCATAGGAAGGACTAGGATTCGTGGTGTTAGCTAATAGACTGGAATAGTTATTCCGCTATTCAACATCATATCTAGTGGCCGCACCATAGCTGAAGCGGTTAGTCGCTGGCATCCCACCGC